AATTTTAAGATTTCGTGGTTCTTCTGGTGTAGTAATTTTTGATTTTTAATATTGTTAGGCACATAATTAGCAAATTTTAAAATATTTAATTTTTATTAGTTAAAAAATATAATATATTTGCGCTTATAACAACACTAAACCTATAATCTCATATTCATACTCATAAGGGCTCTTGTTATCAAACGTTTTCTTCAACGGGTAACGGGCCGATGCTAAACGGGTACCCGTGTTGACGGTTCATAATTTTCAAGGGATATGCGTCCGTTGACGGTATGGAATCTCCGAAATATCGTCAGTTTTAAAGTAATAAGTGCACGCAATACATGGTATATCATGTTGTCGTCAAAAAAACTGATATTAGTCTAATATTGGTTAAAAAAATGCAGAAGCAACGGGAGAAGCGTAAAAGAAAAATATGGATAGATCCTATTTTGTCAGAAAGAGAAAAGTGTGGTGCTTTTCACACACTTTACGATGAATTTAAAAAAGACGAAACAAAATTCTTCAATTACTTCCGAATAGATCAAGAAACTTTCCACAAATTTTCAGAAATATTACATGATAAATTAAAACGTGCTGACACTAATATGAGGCTATCCTTGAGGCCTTGCATCTGCTGATTGTCTAGCTGTTACTTATGTATGAATTATGCTATTAGGGCTGTCAATTTAAAAGTTTTATTGAGTTTGGATGACTACCCGGTTGTAAAAGACAAACCAGTGAAAGAAATTGGTGTTATAATAGCAACTCCTCTCATTAATCAGTCCAGACTTACAAACAGGAGATTTTCATTCAACCTCATATATAAGTAATAACGTTAATCATTATGGCTAGATAATCAGCCACAGGTGGTTAACTATAAATTAATTTCCACAGCCCAAGGTACAGACATTTGGAAGTGTAATTTGCAAAGGATTCTATGAATCAATTACAATGTTTGTATTATGTTATTTTAGTAAAGAAATGTTCACACTAATCTAAGTAATCAGTTTAAGAATATGCAATGTAAGTTGCATATGTTATAGTGAGTTAAGTAAAGAATATTTAATTATTTTATTTAATCATTTTATGTATTTTATTTCTATTTTATGTATTTTAATTATTTAATGAAAATTGGAAAAAGAGTTCAAGTAGTACACCTTAAATGACATTTTATATAATGAAAAGATCATAAAGCCTAATTCTGCAAAATTAATGCATGATATATTTGGCTCAAGTTACTTATGTCAGTTCTCTTATTTAAAGCATTAGGATGTTTTAGAATTGAACAAATTTCCAAAAACTGTCTTTTAGCTAGATTGCGTTCAGTGGCAAGAATCTTAACTTTATTGATATGCAATGTCTTCACTATAACATATGCAACTTACATTGCATATTCTTACACTGATTACTTAGATTAATGTGAACATTTCTTTACTAAAATAACATAACACAAATATTGTAATTGATTCATAGAATCCTTTGCAAATTACAGTTCCAAATGTCTGTACCTTGGGCTGTGGAAATTAATTTATCTTTAACCACCTGTGGCTGATTATCTAGCCATAATGATTAACGTTATTACTTATATATAAGGTTGAATGAAAATCTCCTGTTTGTAAGTCTGGACTGATTAATGAGAGGAGTTGCTATTATAACACCAATTTCTTTCACTGGTTTGTCTTTTACAACCGGGTAGTCATCCAAACTCATTAAAACTTTTAAATTGACCGCCCAATTATTTGAGTTGGTACCTCCACCTTGCTGATCTGTCAAAAGTATTTTGACCTTAAGGTTGGCTGTCTTTTTGCGGTTTAGTTCGTTCTGATTCATCTAACGCCATTTTTCCGGCGACAGCTGTAGGGCTTTGATCGGTAACTTCATTTACACTACTTTTAAAATTTTAATAAAATTTTTATTAATATCACCTATAATGCTACCTAAAGTTAAAATCAAAGCTTAATAATCATTAAATAGTTGGAATTTGTCTATGATTTTCTTGGTTCTTTTTCACTAATTAAGATTAAATAATATTTCATTTACTTTAGACCACATGGTCATTTGCTGTGCTAATTTTTATAAGTTCCTATATGTTGTTAGTTACTTGATTGTTTATACAATATCAGCGTATTATGTCCATTTACTTATGTTTCATTCACATAATTGTAAATAACTTTGACTGCTACATGTATTTTTAAGGTAATAATTAACATCGTTTCCATGATTGTGTGGTTCTCATATTGTACTTTTTAGATGAACTGATGATACTTTCAAAACTCGAAAGCGAAACGTCTTCAAAATAGATAAAGTAGCCTATCAACTTTGTCTTTTATTTCTCCACCTTGAGACCGATATAAGAACCCACCACTCGTCTGAGTGATCGTTTTTATTTTATATATATATATATATATATATATATATATATATATATATAATATATATATATATATTGGATTGACGGTCGTACTTCTTTTCCGATATATATATATATATATATATATATAATATATATATATATAATATATATATATATATATACCGGGTGGTGAATCGTCAAACGGACCATAGGAAACTCAATGAGACATTTTAAATTGTTGAATTGCTGCTTCCCTAATTATTTTAGATCAAAAGTCATAAAAAACTATTTGTAGAGGACTAAAATCTAAATTAAAAACAAATGTTAAAACCGTTCTACGACTCAATTGTACTTAAAAATTTTGCAAAAATATAATACATTTTTCAGGCCACCCCTAAAAGTTAGGCCACACGTAATGCAAGAATATATATTAGGACGTTTGTGTTTTATCATATTTATGTCAGATGTTTGACAATTTGAATTGTCAATTTTTTTATTTTATGATTAAATTATAAACAATGAATTTTACTAAATACTACTACTAATGAACATTATTACTTTGTGAACAATAAATTATATTGTTTAAAAATCGATCAATATAATGAAATGTACTCAGTTGACGAAAAATCGCATAATGTTGTATTCAGGCAATAGCGCGAACCTTTTCCTGCCACTACCGGATCTTTATTTAACGTAAGATATTCTAATTCACTAAAATTTAATTCCATGTTAAGTTAAGTTAAACAACAATTCAATGAATTCCAATATACTGTTACTGTGATCTTTATTCCTAATAATAATATATGATAATTTCTAAACGTAAAACTATAACAAATGTTATAATAAAACATGAATAAAACATTTTTATTATTACTTTTTTCTTCTCAACTGAGTACATTTTTTAATCAACTTAATTTTTTTTTAACAATAAATCACAAAATTTTGGCCATTTAAATCATAGATAAATGTAATATAATTGATTTAAATATTGTCAAATATCAGAAACAATAATATGACAAAACGCAACACGTAATACACATTTTTTCACAGAAAAATGTATTATATTTTAGCAAAATTTTGGAATACGTTTAAGTCGTAGAATAATTTTAACAGTTCTTTTCGATACATATTTGAGTCCTCTACAAATAGTTTCCCATGACTTTTGGTGTAAAATAATTAGGGAAGCAGGAATTCAACAATTTAGAATTTCCCATTGAGTTTCCTATGGCCCGTTTGACGATTCACCACCCTGTATATATGGATTTTGATATGAGGATTTTAATAAGTTAATTCACCAATAATTTTTATTTTATATATATATATATATATATATATATATATATATATATATATATATATATATGTATATATATATATATATATATATATATATATATATATATATAAAATAAAAATTATTGGTGAATTAACTTATTAAAATCTTCATATCAAAATCCATATTTTAGCGACAACAAAGAAAGAAATTTATTGAAACAACGGATGCTCGTCCAACGCCGTTAACACACTTGCATAAACTAAAATGGTTCACTGAAGGTTCACGCTCACGGCACTGGTCCGTCGAACGTTATGCCGAGGGGGACTGGATACGTAGACGGTGGAAAGTTAACCAACGGGTTAGTGGCTGTTGCATGAACGAACCTGAAACAGACTGAGCAACGGCCAACGGGATGGTATCAAAAACGACCCGTTGACCGTTGTCGTTAACAAGAGCTCTAACTGGTCGCATTCAAAAAATATTCTGATAACGGTTATCTAACTATTTCCATTTCCGACACTTCAGTGACTTTACCATTACGTTGATCTTAACCATTTTGCTTTTAATTTTAATTATGAATTGTTTCACTTGCTTCCTCCTCATCTTGTATGTCATTAATTTTATTATCTGAATTTGTAGTTTGCTCGTCTTGGTCCTCTTTATCTGAAGCTTATTTCGCTATTTGTTTATTTCAATACTGGCGCTCTAGCTGTTCCTGAAATTCCAGCTAAATCAGTAAAACTGACTTTCCTGTGAGCAATGCTCCTATCGACTGAAATCGGTATTTATTTTTCTGTCCCCGGACCTGAAATTTTCCATAGAACCAAGAAAAGATTTTTTACTGCATATATATTTTTTTGATTCACTGAACTGTTGTGATTGTTATGTAATCTCTCTCAAAAGAGACTCTCATTACAAGATATGATCACACATTTCTTAAATTCCCCTATTGCATTTGAATCACTGACTGTTTTTCAAGCATATTTGCTCGAAAAGCTCGAGGAAAAAAAGTAAATAAGAAACAGTAAAAAAACAGGAAAGCTTTTTCTATTTTGCTTCCAAGTTGCTTCCATACAGCCCTTGTAGACACACCGTCTCAGGACTAGCAACTTCAACGTGGAGTCATGTGTCGCCATGTTACCTTATCTAACGGTAACTTCAACATCATAACATATAAGAACTATCGTATACCAAATGCGATTAATTATTATTTGTTAAAATGTTTTTACCCATGTATTTAGTGGCTACATTCATGTACTCCTAGACACTGATGATGGAATATGGAATCCGAAAACGTTTTATTTTAATTAGCCCGTTAGGGGTTTTAAATATATACCTTTTATAAAGGTTATTTAATATTTTTTTAAATAAACTATTTTTTTGCTTTAGGGTGGTATGATTCTTCATGCCCAGTTGGAGATATGGAAAGCAGCGTATTCCGAGGAAGACTTGGGTATACAGTGGAAGCCAGAGACAACGTCAAGTAATGCATCTAGTGGAGGAGATCTCTCAGATGGTAAGTTTTGTTATTATATTTAAATCTTTGTAAAATATATGAGTACCTTGTATTTTAATATGATATATTATGTGTTTAGCTAATTATTCGTTGTGTCACTTTAAGTTATTTTTCACAAGTTAGTGTGCTGTTCTTACTGATTATTTTAAATTGAATTTATGTATACTTTAGTTAATTTTTTAAATTAATTTTAAAATACTTAAGCAGTAGTTTTTGTAAATGATTGAAACGTGCCTACATATTGTGTAAACAATAAATACACGTACCTACATATTGTGTACACATATTGTTAACACAATAAATTTTAGTAGAATTTTGAGTAGGCTAATACTGTTCTTTTGCCATTTATTTTATTGGACTGTTAGTCTTATTCTCTTCATAAAATTACATAAAGATATCTTGGTTTTGATTTATACCTGATTCTTGTTCTATCGTTGAGCCGCTGGTACTCCTTGTCAAATATAGCTCAAGACTTAATTTTTTTAATAATAGACTCCACCTCCTATGCGCAAAGGACATCAATAAAATTTGTCACTATTATTTCATCTCTGAATGTTTTTTACAGTTTTCCACAAAAATATTGTTTAGTTTTTTGCCTGTAGTGCAAGAACTGTTATTGTGATTGATTTGGGTTTTTAAATTATTTACACAGATTTTTAATCAAGGTAAAAAAAAGACTTAGTAGAAAATGTACATTGTTTTTATGTAGCGAGAAATTGTACAAGATCGGCCTAATAAAGATTTTTAAAAAGTACAGAAGCGTGCTGCCTTAGCAACCAGAGAAGGTTTAAGCAAAATTGAAGTATAAAAACTAAATATTAATAAGAATAATTTTATTAATACTTAATTTTTGCCGTTTTAATTCCCTATGCTTGTAAAGAAACAGATTTACAGAAACAAATTTAGTTATAGGTATTCATGATAAAACTTTAAAAGCAATTTTAGTTTTATTTTGTCTTTTCTAATCTGTTTATATAATCTTCATTAAGACAGATGATAAGCAAATGTATAAATTACAAAAGCAGCTTTAAAATCGTTTATCCAGGTCTAGCAAGAAAAGAATTGATAATAAACACAAACATTTTGATACAGATAAAACATCATCATTTATTGGTCAAAGTTGTCAAAGTCAATATAATGATGAGACTGTAAAAGCTACATTCCGTAGTTAAAGACAGATTTTTTTTTTTTTTTTTTTTTTTTATTTATTTTTTTTTTTTTATTTCGACTTTAACGTGCTCGGCTGCTATGGCCACTTACACAGGTACTATAACATGAGTTTTCATTATACAAACAATAAATGTTACATTAAGAATATGTTACAATAATACGGAATGATAATAATATGTTACACAATGTCTAAATTAAAATCTAATTATATTTTTTGATATAAGTGTTCATCTCTAAGGAATTGTAGCACAGCTTTTATTTGGTCAGGGTCGCTTAGGATATCTCGTACTTCACTTTTGAGTTTGTATTGTAATCTTCTGGCCGAATGTTGATGGCATTCAGTGAGAATATGTTTGATTGTCAAATATGATTGGCAGCTTTGACAGGAGGGACGGATGCTAGAGGACATTAGGTAGCCGTGAGTGAGTTTTGAATGTCCTATCCGAAGTCATCTTATCACAATGAGATCTCGTCTTGACAGGGCTGAATAGTCAAATGTAGGCTGACTGGTTATTGACGGTTGTATTTCGTGTAAGATCGAACGGTTATAGTTCCAATGCTGCTGCCAAAGGAGTCTGGTTCTTCTTTTAGTATATAATTTTAGGTCCTTACAAATTTGAATTTTATCGGTGATTTCAGGTGATGCTGTAGCAAGTTTAGCATAGTGATCTGCAGTTTCATTGCCTTCTATACCAATATGAGATGGCAGCCAAATTATGGTAACTGTTATGTTTTGGGACAAGATAATTTGGTAAGAGTCTAGGATCTTTTGGACGATTGGATGATCGGTAAATATATTTTTGATAGAATGGATTGATGCTAAAGAGTCTGTGCATATGGCAACCTGCTTATTAAGTGGAGATATGTGGTTGAAAGCTTGCAATATACTAAATAATTCGCCAGTATGAACGCTGCTAACGGATGGTATAAGTGATGATTTAATTAATGAATGAGAGGTTGTGACAGAGCAGCCTACTCCTGTGTCATTTTTTGAGGCATCCGTGTATAATATTAGGTCGTAACTATTTGTACATATAATGTCTTTAAATGCATTTATAATGATCTCTTTCGGATGTTTATTTTTATCGAAGTTGGTGAGCGAGGTGTTAAATTTGGGCGTGGAGATGATCCAAGGAGGAGATATAGGGGGATAAAGAGGAAGGGTATGTGTAAGAGAGATATCATTAAGTGTCTGTGCTAAAATTAGTGGAATAGGTTTTATTGGTGGTAAGGAATTGGTATTGTGTAAATTGTATGTGGACATTACAAATAAGGGATGCACTGGATTAGAGGGGTTAGCTGATACCGATGCTGCATAAGAGAGTAGCAGTTGTTTTCGTCTTATATAAAGAGGAGGTTCGTTAGCTTCGCAATAAAGATTATCTATAGGACTAGATCGAAAAGCGCCAATACAAAGACGAAGGGCTGTGTTGTGAATTGAGTTTAGAAGGTTAATATATGTTTTGGAGGCGGATATATATATGTGACAACCATAATCTAGCTTGGAACGTATTAGTGATCTGTATATTTTAAGAAGTGAGTTTTCGTCAGATCCCCAATAATGATGTGATAAAGTTTTTATTATGTTTAGTCTTTTGCACGTTTCTCCTTTTATTGCAAATATATGTTGCTTCCAAGTTAGTCGTGCGTCAAACGTTAATCCGAGAATTTTGCATTGTTTAACAACAGGAATAGGGACATTGTTAATCAAAATAAGTGGAGATGGAGAAGGGGGACGTCTACTAAAGTTTATAATTTTAGATTTTACATAGGATAAAGATAACCCCATGTCACTAGTTTTTTTTAAAAGTGTGTCAACAGCAGCTTGAATAAGCTTCGAGGTGGTAAAAGAGTTTTGTCCATGACAGTAAATTACTAGATCATCAGCATACATGATTTGTTTAATAGGGGAAATGAGATGAGAGCATAAATCACTTATTGCTAGATTAAAAAGTGTAGGACTTAGTACCGATCCCTGAGGTACGCCATCAGTTTGAGTATAAGTAGAAGATAAAATACCGTTGACAGAGACTCTGAACGATCTAGAAGATAGAAAATTTTGTATGAAGTTAAATATATTACCATTAATATTAAGAAGGATAAGTTTGTTTATTAAACATTGCCTACTTATAGTATCAAAAGCACCTTCAATATCAAATATGGCAGCTACGACTTCTTGTTTTTTGTTTAAGGCTTCTGATATATGAGTTTGGAGGATTACAAGGTTGTCTTGGGTTGAACGGTTTCGACGAAATCCTGACTGTTCACTAGCGAATATCTTATGTTTTTCAATGAACCATAGAAGTCTTTTATTAATCATTTTTTCAAATATTTTGCACATCGTACAAGTTAGTGATATAGGCCTATAAGAGTTGGCCAAGGAACGATCTAGGTTAGGCTTTTTAATGGGTATTACGATAGAGGTTTGCCATTGTTTGGGAAATTGGTTAGATGACCAGATTAAATTATACATCTCAAGTATTTTGAGTAGGCTACAATTGGAGAGCTTTTTGATAAATATGTAAGGAATGTCGTCAGGACCAGCGGCATTGTTTTTACAGGTTTGAATAACTGATACTAGTTCTTCAAAAAGAAAGGGAGAATTAAGATGTGTGATGTCCATTATTGTATCGGGTGAGGAACAAGGTGGGGCGTTAGGTAATGGATTTCGTAAGGAGGTATCTATTTTACTTTTAAATTTATTGTCGAAGTGCTTTGCTAAGGTTTCGCCGATTTCTTGATTGTCAGTGATTGTAGTGCTATTTACAGCAATGCTAGAGATTTTGAGGTTGGTGTTGTTTCCTTGGATTTGTCTAATCTTTTTCCAAAGATCCACCGGATTGGTTCTTGAATTAATGGAAGATACATATTCTCTCCAAGATGATTTTTTACTTTGTTTTATAATAAATCGGGCTTTGGCTCTGGTTTTCTTTAGTTCAATGAGATTCTCCAGATTTTTGTTTTTACGGTAATTTTTAAGAGCTAATTTTTGTTGTTCTGTTGCGGTTTGGCAAGATGTATTCCACCAAGGTACTGCCTTTCTTTTATGTGAAATATTATTTTTGCCTATGTGCAAATTTGCAGCTTTAAGTATGGAATCGGTGATTAATAATAGATTATTGTTAATATTGTCGGATAGGGATAGAAAAGGTAAGGTGTTATCTGTTTGTGAAGTATAGTCATTCCAGTCGGCATTTTTTAGTCGCCAGAAGTTTCTGGTTATAGTTTGTTCATGGTTGGAGCTATCAGATGATACAAATATTGGAAAGTGGTTGCTGTCATAAAGATCATCTGAAGTTTTCCAAGATAGTGAAGTATATGTTTTTGGGTCGCTAAAACTAAGATCTATAGCCGAAAATGTGCCAGAGGAAAAGTTCAAATGCGTATTAGAGCCTGTATTTAGTAGACAGGAGCCTGTGCAATTGATAACGTTTTCTATAGTTTTACCTTTGCTATTAGTGTGGTTTGACCCCCACATAAAGTTATGAGCATTGAAGTCACCTACTAGAATATATGGAGCGGGGAGCTGATAGATAAGATTTAGAATTTCGATTTCTTGAAGAGGGTAGTTAGGAGGAATGTATACACTGCATATCGTAAGTTTATTTGGACACCAAGTAGTTACGGCTATAGCCTCGAGTTCCGTGGTGATGAGGAGATGGGATGAATATATTTCACTGGAAATAAAAATAGATGTCCCACCACTGGCTCTGTTACAATTAGTTCTGATATAATGGTATCCTTCGAACTTTTTTAATGTGGGAAGCTTAGATATTTTTGAGTTTGTTTCTTGTAGACATATGATATCAGGTTGTTTTTCTGTCACTAGT